TTACTGTCAGGAAATTTCTCCTTAGTTCCAGATTGGATCTCTCTTTAACAAAGCTTCGGATCATTGCTTGTCCTGCCCTCAGGTGCTTCAGAGGATAAGTTGCCTTTTTCCTCCTTCTGACTGCCCCTCAAGTACTAGAAGGCAGCTATCATGTCATAATACCCAATAACAGATTTGGAAGGGACCTTGGAGGTCTTCTAGTCCAGCCCCCAATACAGGAGGAGACCCTATACTATTCCATACAAATGGCTTTCCAATCTCTTCTTAAAATCCACCAGTGATGGAGCAACCCACAACTTGTTCTCAATGACAGGAAATTCCTCCTTAATTCTAGGAATTCTCCCAAAGTTCTATCTAATTTTGATAACCTTCCATCCATTACTTCTTGTCCTGCCCTCAGGTACTTTGGAGAATAGGTCAATCCATTCTTCTCTGGGACAACCTGTCAGATATTGGAAGGCTGCTATCGTGTCACCCCTATCCTTCTTTTTGTTAGACTAGACATACCTAGTCTAGACTAGACATACCTAGGAGCCTTGGTGGCGCAGCAGACTAAAGCACTGTTAAGTAACACCAGCTGCCTGCAATTACTGCAAGTTCAAATCTCACCAGGCTCAAGGTTGACTCAGCCTTCCATCCTTTCGAGGTAGATAAAATGAGGACCCGGTTTGTGTGGGCAATAAGCTGACTTTGTATAAAAAAGAACACCGCTTAGAGGGCCCCCGAAAGCCCTACTAAGCAGGTATATACAAAAGTATGAAGGCTATTGCTTAACGGATTGTAAACTGCCCTGAGTCTCCGGAAAAGGGCGGCATATAAATCGAAATAAATAAATAAATAAATAAATAAATAAATAAATAAATAAATAAATAAATAAATAAATAAATAAATAGTCAGTCAGTCAGTCAGTCAGTCAGTCAGTCAGTCAGTCAGTCAGTCCCTGCAACCGTTCATCCTGTGCTTTAGCCTCCAGTCCCCAAACGATCTTCGTTGTTCTTCTCTGCAGTCTTTCTGAAGTCTCAGCATCTTTTTTTTTTTGTATCGTGATGGACAAAACTGGACGCAGATTTGCAGAAGTCCAATCCTTCTCTTTGTTAGGAAAGTTCCTTGTATGATTTAGCCTCCACATCCCTTATCATCTCTGCACTCTTTCTAGGGCCTCAGCATCCTTTTTTGTTTGTATCATGGTGACCAGGAATGGAAACTACTCCAAATGTGGCCTCACGAGTGCAGTAAAGAGTACTATCACTTGTTATCTTGATGCTATCTCTCTGCTAGTGCAAGCCAGGACTACTATTGAATCAGGTGCTCCCTAATCTATATAACATAATCTAAAAAAGCCTTTGATTTTTTTTCCTGCCTAAATGCAGGATCTTGCTTTTCGCTCCACTGAATTGCATCTTGATCCTTCAGAATCATGACTCGGTCTTCCAAGGTTTTGGCAGTTTGCTGTCGTCTGCAAATTTGATGAGTTCTCTTTCCCCTAACCCTAACCCTGTGAGATAGGTTGGTCTAATACAGGGATCAGCAACCTGCGGCTCTGGAGCCGCATGTGGCTCTTTCACCCCTCTGCTGCGGCTCCCTGTCACTCAAAAGATGCGTCACAACCACCAATGTGCAACACCCGCCGGCATGCGATTTATGGAGGTTTTCAACTCCCGGTAGGCCAATCATGGATAAATCCAAGAAAAGAAAAGTTTCAGAAGAAAACAGAATGTTTAATTCAACTACATATGCTAGTTTTGTGGCCACTCAAGAAATAGTCAGGCACAGGAAGGGTTTTGTGGCTCCTGGTATTTTCTTTTCTGTGGGAAACGGGTCCAAATGGCTCTTTGAGTGTTTAAGGTTGCAGACCCCTGATCTAATATTACATAGTGAGTCTCCATGGATAAAAGTGGACTTGAACAGCAGTTTCCCCATTGGAAGTTCATCACCTTAACATTTACACCACACTGGGTCTATATTGTTAAGGTATCTGTCAGTTTTTCCTCCCATGCCTCAAAATTCTAAACTCTCTACTATAGGCTCCTGCTATTTTAGACTCAGGAATATAACTAGAGGTGGATGTATAATACCAAGCAGTAGTACATTTTTCAAAATTAAAACTCTGGAACATAGGATGCAAAATCAATTATTAGACAACTTGTAACTAGATTTTCTGGAAATGTTTTTTCTCAGATAGTATTTTTTGTATTTATTGGAAGCATAGTTAAGCAAATATCAGATTTCTAGTCCTTCTTGGATCTGGGCTCTTGATCCTTTTGGAATTGGATGTTCAAATTGTTTTTCTAATTTAAAATTAATTTAATCTAATTTTTTTTACTGATTTTATATTTTTTATCTCTTGTGTTTTTTAATCAAAATGTGATGTGAATGTACTATAGAATAAATAATAATTCTAATGCAAACTTTTCTCCATTTTTGAATTAATTTGATACATTTTATCTGTACTGCCCATCATGACTCATTTTGGAGAAGGAACAAGAAGCATAGATAAAAATTATCCTTTGCATGTAGAGAAAAAAATGGAGTGGGATAACACAAACAGCATCATTGGAACTAGGGGTGAAATCCAGCAGGTTCTGACAGGTTCTGGAGAACCAGTAGCGGAAATTTTGAGTAGTTCTGAGAACTGGCAAATGCCACCTCTGGCTTGCCCCAGAGTGGGATGGGAATGGAGATTTTGCAATATTCTTCCCCCAGGAGTGGGGAGGGAATGGGAATTTTGCAATATCCTTCCCCTGCCATGCCCAGAAAACCGGTAGTAAAAAAGTTTGAATTCCACCGCTGATTGGAACTATTTGATAGGCGATCCACTGTAGGAGCTCAGGTCTTACACTTTTTTCCTTTTCTGATTTTTATGTCTTTATAAAAAGCAGAATTGTGGTTGGTGATGTGATGATGTCATTAGAGATAGGCGGGGGAGTGAAGGCAAGCGTGTCAGGGCAGAAGTATGAGATCCTTGCTTAATGATGATGCGGTCCTGGCTTAAGGACTTCAGCTGGGACTCCTGAAACTGCTGTCACCAAGCAGCACGATGTTTCACCTAATGACCACTTAGCAACAGAAATTCTGGCTCCCATTTAGGGACCTTTAAGTGAGGACTACCTGAATTCCCTTCTGGGTTGCCAGCAGATTTTAGAAAACCAGAATAAAATGGATCTTGGGATTTTATGGAGAACCATAGTCTCTTCTCCCAACTGCCTTGTGTACTCAATTTTAATATCTGTTGTATAACTACATAGAAATTCTTCTTTGAGTGAAATCTGCAAAAGAAGAATGTAATTTTAGTGACATTTCACTCTTTCTGATGTTTGTGCTTTAACTCAGGCCATCTCTCCATCTGCAATGTGCAGCTTGTATGTAAATGTTTCAAATGTGGTATAACAAAGGAATTAAATATTTGCATTAAAAATCTTTGATACGGCCTTTCTACTCCCCACCCGAACAGAATGCATATGTATCAACAGATTATATCAGGTAAACAATGCATGTACTATTTACAAATGCCCAGGAATGGCTAGGAAGAATAGTTGGACAACATAGCAATCCTTTGCATCTAAGGAGCATTTCAGTGAATACGTGAATTAAAAACAAAAGCTTAAAGCGAGCTTTTTTTTTTCTCTTGCTCTTTCTGCATTGTGAGACCGAGATATAGGAATGTTGGTTGGAAAACAGTTGCAAAGGAGGTCGTCTAGATAGTTGCATAGTTAGGTGAGCTTTAGGTAATTTTGAGTTTGCAATTATCTAAGGTACAATAAAGTAAGAGCTTCATATACACCTTCCTTGTTTCCATTTTTAATCATTGCTTGAAAGTGTGGACATATACTGAAGCACAAAATGGCTAAGTTGCAAACATGTTATGGTGGTGTTTTTATACTTTAAGACAGATCTAGAACTCAGTTTCCTGGTTTGTAGGCTAGCCATTAACCAATACACCAAACTGGGTTTTATTCAGCCTCTCTATTTAAATGTATTACTGCAATGTATTCTAAATGTATTAATAATAATAAAAAAGAAAGGTAAAAATGACCTAAAGAAAACAAGTTCGCTTATTTTGACCATATTGTTTGAAAAGTTTTCTTGTCTTTTTTGATGACATCCCCCTACCAAATTCAAATATTGTCAAAAGTCCACAAATCCACAAACTATTGCTGAAATTCAAATATAGATTCCTTTTCCCAGTGTTGTATGATAATTCTTTTTAAAGGCTCCTAGTACCTGAGAAATCTTAAATTCATGGTCTCTTAAAAGATTGCAAATATTGAAGAAAATAAGCAAGGGGGCAACCATCTTTTGCACACAATGATTCCAGAATCATTATGTTTCAAACATTTTTGCAGTATCCCGTTTACAAAAGGCATTTTGATTAACCTCTTTGTATGATCAAAATAAACTAATTTCATATTGAAACATTTAAGCACTTTGTTCTAGAGGTGATGTAAATAAATAATATCAACTTCGTTTAAAAAAGATTTAGAAACCAAATTCGTCCCAAAACTCTAATCATTACATAAACTTCAGAAGCAAAGTTAATATTTGAATAATAAACTAAATCACTATTAGAGTTGTATAAACTACCAAGAGGTTTATCATGTTTTTCAGAACCAAATTGATCCAGACTAATAATCCTGTGAAAAGGCAATTTTACCCCCAAGCAGGTTTAGATGCTAACTTTAAGCCAGTATTTATTCCATAATGTAAATCTTACATGCTTAAAAAGGTCATAATTATATTTGCAAGCTAATATTTTTGAATTGTGTCTTTCATTGTTAAGTGCAGGCATTGAAATCAGTCCCTAGGCAACAAAGAACCAATCACAGAAATTCTTTGATTTACATTTCAAGAACCTTTTAATGGTAGGCACAGGAACTCATGTGTAACAATCAGAGCTTACACATAATTTTATAAGGAAATGTTTAAGGAAATAATCTTAACCCCAATGTATTTTCATGCAATGTCTTAATTAATTGCTCTTTTTCTTTTGGTTGGGCGAGTAGAAGAATTGCGGAAGCTGAGTTGGTCAGGAATTCCAAAACTTGTACGACCAATTACATGGAAGCTCCTGTCAGTAAGTACTTCAAGATTTTATAATGATGGTGTTCTTTGTCTGCCATGTATAATTTTGCTTGAATCACAACTATTACCATGTTTTCCCGAAAATAAGACCCGTCTTATATTTTTTTGAACCCTGAAATAAGTGCTTGGCCTTATTTTCGGAGAGGTCTTATTATTTTGGGGCGCGTGGAGCAAGATGGGGCTCCTCTTGCCATCTTACCTGATTTCCAGCTCTGCATTTAAATATTTTCAGGAAGGGCTTATTTTCCGGGGGAGGCTTATTTTAGTGCATGAGCTCAAAAGGCTTATTATCAGGGGATGTCTTATTTTTGGGGAAACGGTAAGTAGCATTACAAACAGTTTGGCCAAAGGAACAAATGTTTCTTTTTCAGTTTCAAGAAAAGCTTCAACATGCTTTCAAAGTTCTGTTCTTCTGTCCTACAACAATAAAGACCATTCCTGAAATCCTTATTGTGGTTATTCCCTGACTTTGCCTACCTCAGAAGGATAACAAAACTCAATAAATAGGCACAAAGTCAGTTGATCATCAACTGTCAAGATCCTAAGACGGCGATGGCTAACCTTTTCTGAACTGAGTGCCCAAAGCATGCACATCCGAACCCTCAAAATGCAATGCACACACAGCCCCGTGCACAGCCCCCGCACACACATGTGGTCCCCCCGCACATGCTCCACCCCTGCACATGTGTGCACGTCACCCCATATGTGCCCCACCCTCCACGCATGCGTGCGTGGCCCCCCAAGCGACTCATCCCGCATGCATGCGTGCCCCAATGCATTCATGTGTGGCCCCCTGCATGCACACCGCCCCGTGCATGCGCGCCAGAGACCCGTCAAGCAGTTGGCCAGCAGGAGGTGTGCACACATGCGTGGTGGAACTGAACTGGGACGACAGCTCGCTTGTCCGCAGAGAGGGCACTGCGTGCCACCTGTGGCATGTGTGCCATACGTTCACATCACAGACCTTTTTTTTATATATATATATATATATATTATTAACATATAAAAAAAAGAAATTAACATACATAACATACATGAATCATAATATGTAATATATAACAATATGCACAATATAAACAATCAACGAGTGCTCCCCCACCCCTCGGGATCATTCCTGCTTCCAGAATCTTAAGGCTTCTTCTGGTGATGGTATCCCTCTTCCTCCAGAAAACACATATATTAGGAACTGTTTCCAGATTCCATTGAATTCGTTTATTTTCATTATGCCCCTCCTTACTTTAATATTGCAAGTCAATTTATCATTTATGGCAATATCCCATACTTCCTTATACCATTCTTCCAAACTATAATCACCCTGTGTCTTCCAGTTCCTAGAAATCATTAACCTTGCTGCGGTCAACAAATTTATTATCAATTCTTTAGTCTCTTTTTTACTTTTTATATCTTCCAATAGTGAGAGTAATGCTACCTTTGGTGCTTCTTCTACTTTTATTCCTACAATTTCTTCTATCTCCTTAAACACCATCTTCCACAATTTTTGCACAAATTTACAATCCCACCACATATGTAAATACGTTCCTTTTTCCCCACAACCTCTCCAACAGTTATCTGAATAGTGCTGATACATATTGCTTAATCTAACCGGAGTTAAGTACCACCTCCATACCATTTTGTAGTAATTCTCTTTTATTCTTACTGACATATTTCTCAACACTCTTTGTTGCCAAATTCTGTCCCAACTCTGTTGCCCTATTTGTATCTTCACGGTCCTAAGAGGCAGAGGAACCTGGGACATTGCAGATTCCTCTGCCTCTGGAAATTGCAGAGACAAATGGGATGGAGGAGAGAAATGCATGAGGGAATTGGAAGGACAATCAGGTCACTGTCTTATATTCAGTTTGAGCAAAGAACATCCCAAGTCAAAACAGTAACATGATCTATTTGACTATGTATCTTCATCAAGCACCACAAAAGGCTGATAGAATATTATCAGTGAAAGAGTGGTACTGAAGCTCTTACCCAAGGGAAGGGTATAAAGAATAAAGGAGGATCCAGAATTGATCTCTGACACCTGCCATAAGGGAAAACAAATTCACTTTGCAAGCAAACCTAAAGATAGACAAGGGTTGAATCAATAAAGAGCTCCATTATTGATGACAGGGAGAATGGGATAGGGATAGGGATAGGGATAGGGATAGGGATAGGGATAGGGATAGAATAGAATAGAATAGAATAGAATAGAATAGAATAGAATAGAATAGAATAGAATAGAAAAGAAAAGAAAAGAAAAGAAAAGAAAAGAAAATAACAGAGTTGGAAGGGACCTTGGAGGTCTTCTAGTCCAACCTCCTGCTTAAGCAGGGAACCCTACACCACTTCAGACAAATGGTTATCCAACGTCTTCTTAAACACTTCCAGTGTTGGAGCATTCACAACTTCTGGAGGCAAGTTGTTCCACTGATTAATTGTGCTAACTGTCAGGAAATTTCTCCTTAGTTCTAAGTTGCTTCTCTCCTTGATTAGTTTCCACCCGTTGCTTCTTGTTCTACCCTCAGGTGCTTTGGAGAATAGCTTAACTCTCTCTTCTTTGTGGCAGTTCCTGAGATATTGGAACACTGCTATCATGTCTCTCCTAGTCCTTCTTTTCATTAAACTAGACATACCCAGTTCCTGCAACCGTTTTTCATATGTTTTAGCCTCCAGTCCCCTAATCACCTTTGTTGCTCTTCTCTGCACTCTTTCTAGAGTCTCAACATCTTTTTTACATCATGGCGACCAAAACTGAATGTAGTATTCCAAGTGTGGTCTTACCAAGGCATTATAAAGTGGTATTAACACTAATAAGTAGTACCTATGCTCATATGTATGAAATACTGCAGTCAGGTCCTAAAGAATCAACCTAGTGTGAGAATTTGGAACTTGGTCACCAAAGTAACATTCAGAACATGAGAAAGTACCACTTCTATTGAATTTCACAAAATGCTAATTGATACAGATCATGAAGGCCATTGGAAGACAAATCAAATCATTGTGACAAGGCCAAGTCTCACAAGAATTTTGGATTAAAAAAGGAAATAGAGATATAATTCAGTATTGTGATCACAAAGAGGGATCCTGGAATTTTTTTTTTCCCCAACAAGAGGCAGAAAAGATCATGCTTAAAGGAGTCTGGGAAAGTCCCATTGGGTAATGAAATTTGAATGTCTTATAGGTCTCCTGATGTACAGATGAATTCCTTGTTTGTAACAATAAACAAGGCTGCTGTATTATTACTATTTTTTTGAAACTACAGTGATTCATGTTCGTGGGTAGTGTATGTTATTTATAATTTAAAAATAAAAGTTGGCTTGGTATAGAATATTGAAACTGTTGATCCAGAGAGACAATACCTGTGTTAATCTTAAAAACCGAGTAAGAGAAGACACGTCTGCCCTAAGGAAAACATTTATATCCCATGGAGAGTTAAATTTACTATTGGAAATTAAATTGTTTTTAATGATACTAATAGTATCATACATAAATGCAAACTGTTGACAGTGAAGTGAAGCCTAGAATTTAATATTTAACCTTACATAAATCCATGCAACAGGATATTAAATGTCAGATTTCATCTAAAGTCATAATGTAAGCTAATGCAGTGTAAAAAATACCTGGGAAATATTGTATCTCTAAGTATGTGCACACCTTTAACAAAAATGCTTAGCTGGTGCTAGAAAATAGAAGCTGTGCAGATGCCACTCCTCCAGCTAGCTAATCTGACTGCCAGGGAGGTGTAAAGGATCAGATAATGTTTTTTCCATCCTGTTATTTAAATAGAGATTAAATAACAGCTTTTCTGATTTGGCCATAATGATGATGATGATGATGATGATGATGATGATGATGATGATGATAATAATAATAATAATAATAATAATAATAATAATAATAATAATAATAATAATAATAATTTTATTTCTATACCGCCCTTCTCCCGAAGGACTCAGGGCGGTGTACAGCCAATTTAAAAACACAAGACACAACAATAATTAAAAATTAAAATAATTAAATAGATTTGGCCGATTTAAAACCCCAAAAATTTAAAATACCCCAATTTAAAATGATCATGTCGATAGCCCGGCCTGGCGGAACAACAGGGTCTTCAATGCGCAACGAAACACCCGGAGGTCGGAGATCTTGCGTATTTCCGGGGGCAGTTCATTCCACAGGGCTGGGGCTCCCACAGAGAAGGCCCTCCCCCTGGGTGTCGCCAGCCGACATAACTTGGCTGATGGCACCCTGAGGAGACCCTCTCTGTGGGAGTGGACTGGTCGGTGGGAGGCTATTGGTGGCAGAAGACGGTCTCGAAGGTACCCGGGTCCTATGCCATGGAGCGCTTTAAAGGTGGTAACCAACACCTTGAATCGCACCCGGAAGACCACTGGGAGCCAGTGCAGCTCGCGCAGGAGGGGTGTCACGCGGGCACAACGAGTTGCGCCCATAACCACCCGCGCGGCCGCATTCTGGACCAGTTGGAGCCTCCGAGTGCTCTTCAAGGGGAGCCCCATGTAGAGAGCATTACAATAGTCCAGCCGGGGGGTGACAAGGGCATGAGTGACCGTGCGCAAGGCGTCCCGGTCCAGAAAGGGCTGCAATTGGCGGATCAGGCGAACCTGATAAAAGGCCCCCCTGGCCACGGCCGTCATATGCTCTTCTAAAGACAGCCGTGCGTCCAGGAGGACACCCAGATTGCGAGCCCTCTCTGTGGGGGGCAAAGATTCACCCCCAATAGTCAGCGATGGCACCTGCTGACTATATCGGGACGCCGGCAGCCACAGCCACTTGGTCTTGGACGGGTTGAGTCTGAGCCTGTTCCTCCCCATCCAGACCCGCACGGCCTCCAGGCAGCGAGACATCACATCAAGGGCATTGTTGGGGTGGTCTGGGGTGGAGATAATTGAGCTTAACTTTCCCTGGACAATTCAGTAGGTAAAAAGAGCGAACTGAATAACCAGACAGTTGATTCCCACCCCTGTCTTAGTGTAGATCTTAATAGATTGCAACTAACTTTTTCCTGAGGGGTTTGAAGTCAGCTTTCTTAAAATTAAGATATAGACAGTATTTAAATATGGTATGCTTAGTTTTATTATCCCTCACTGCCATACATGCTAATATGTGTGGTGTAGTTGTTAGGCATGGGATTAGTATTGGGGAGATCCGGTTTCAATTTGCAAAATGTATTAGTTATTCCATTTTTAATAGCTGCCAAGATTAGCTGAAATTGCCTATTACTTCTGTGGCAAATATGAGCGTTTTATGTTTCTGGAAAGCGTAATCTATAATCTATATCTTTGAATTAGTTGCATTAAGAATTTAAGCCGCGCTTCACTGGATCAGGTCCCTGGCTTGTCTAGGCCAACAGTCTCTTCTTTTAGTGGCCAACCAACCGCACAGGACAACTCACTAATCCTCCAACAGATGGTCTTCAGAGGCAGCCTCATTGCCAGTGAAGCTAATAACTATTCATCCTCATGATATCTGTAGATTGGTCCAATTTTATTTTATTTTTTTTGAAACCAGCCATCCTGGTAACAATTTCCCAGTTGTGGTGGCAAATTCCAAAGTTTAATTATGTAGTGTATAAAAAAAATATTTTCTTTTTGTCTGCCCTGAGTCTTCCAAGATCCAGTTGCTGGTTCCAGTACTTTGAGAGGGGAGGAAATAGCTTCACATTGTGCATAATTTTGTAAATTTTTCTCCATTTCTGTTGAATCAGTTTATTTTAGGAAAAAAACCCTGGTAATTCTCACTTAAGAACTTAAGAAGTGGGACTGGCAATTGTCTTTAAGCAATGCAGCTGTTAAGCGAGACTTCATGTGACTATGATGGTCTTACGACCTCACTTCCATAGCAGTTGTTAAGGGAATTACCCACTTGTCATTAAGCAGGACATCCCATGACCATGGATTGTGATTTTACTGTCAGCTTTTCCATTGACTTTGCTTGTCAGAAGCTGGCTGTGATGTGCAAAATGGTTATCACATAACTACAGGAGGCTGCAATGGTTGTGAATGCGCCTGAATGTCAGCCATGCGGCCACAGAGATGCTGCGAGGAGTAGTCATATTTTTATAGTCATTAAGCAAGGACTGCCTGTATTTGAATTTTGAATCACATTCACCAACTCTCAGTAATTTCATGTATCATTTCTTATTAGGATTTCAGTTCATTTACAAACAAATTAGGGCTATTATCTCATTTTTGTCCCTTATTCTTTAACCTTAGCTTATGTACATAAGAAAATAAGCAGAAAATGGATGTTTTAAGAATTCTGTGGAAGTAATGGAGTTCCGTAGAGGGATGTTCTCTTCTTTTTCATGCTGAAAAATAAATTGGGCAATAAAGTAAATTAATCTTTCTTTTTTCAATTATTTTGCACTGAGTGCGATGCCTTTTTTACATGGATATATTAACATCTATAAGACTGCAAAATGAAGATGAGTTAGGCCACGTTCTTTGCTTATGCTTCAGGGATTGGCAATACGGTTCCTGTGATACTCTTTTTATGGTTAATTTCAAGAGACTGTCTAAATTTGTGAGTTTTCAGAGTAATGATTCTGAAAAAATTGTATACTTTGCAGACTCCTAAGATTTCAATCATTTTTAAAATAATTTTCTTCTTTAACAATATTGCCTGTACCATTATGCAAAATCGCATTAGAGTGTCTGGAAAGTTGCCAAAATCTGATTTACATTAATGCTGAATTTATTTGCAAGGAAAGTGTATCTTAGCTTATTTTAAAGTTTTAAAGATAAGATTTTTCTGTTCGTATAATATTTTTTTATTTGTGTACCTTTTTAATTTGATTGAATTTAAATTTAATTAGATGAAGTTTCAGTCTATTTGAAATTTAGTAGGTCTTATCCCTTTGAATATTATTTTTTTTACTGTGAATACTAAAATCAAAGTATAAGTAGCAAATATAATTTGGGTCTCCACTGCAGTCATTGGCAAAATGGTTCAGTAAAATGCTGCTCAAAATTTCAAAGGTGAAAACCCCCAATTTACTTGGCTATTTTGCTGATTGAAATTAATTTGAAGATACCTGATATCATAGTACTGATTTTTTTCCTTGAATTAATGATTAATAACTGCCTTTTTTACCTCTCAATTTCTAGGGTTATCTTCCTGCAAATACAGATAGGCGAGAAGGCACTTTGCAAAGAAAACGGAAAGAATACTTCGCTTTCGTTGAACAATATTATGATTCAAGAAATGAAGAAACTCACCAGGATACATACAGACAGGTAAAGGAATTGTTAAAATGACTCTAATTATTAGGGCAATTTCAGAAGTGTGTTCTGTAGGAAGACTATCCCTGTTATTTTTTGTTACCATAATACTATCCCAAACTGAATGGACATTTGAAATGCACACGTTAAAAGTTGACGCAGCCTCCGATCCTTCCAAAATGGGTAAAATGAGGACCCAAATTGTTGGGGGCAATATGCTGACTCTGTAAACCGCTTAGAGAGGGCTGTAAAGCACTGTGAAGCGGTATATATGTCTAAGTGCTATTGCTATCTGATCATAAGAAACAGCTTAGGCTATGGTTTCTGTGATGACCTGGGGCGTGGCACAAAGGCAACACAGCCAGAGAACCGGTACAAATCCCTTTATTGCCACCAACTTTGCCCCCAACATCCTGTTTACTCTCAGGCCTGGAGAAAAGCTCTCCCTCAAACCTGCAGCAGCTTCTGATTGCAGATACTCCAGTCCAAATGCTGTAAGCAAAATGACCTCAATCAATCACTCCAGCAGGGCAAGATAATGAGTCATGACAATAATTCCAGCAAGACAAGATAAGCACACAGAAGTATGGCACTAATTCAAACAGTCAGGAGGAATGCCAGGAATGCAGGCCACAACTCTCAACATTGATTCAGCATTTGTTCCTGACAAATGCCCCTCCCAACTACCTCTCCTTTAAACTCCATCCCCAGGTGTGCCTTGTGAAGGGAATCGGGGCCCTCTCCTTCCTCATAAGCCATGCAACCCACGTTGCTCTGTTCTGCGTTCTTCCCTGCACCCCCTAGGATGAGGAAGGGGTGAGCCTTGGTCTTCATCTGAACCCCTCTCCCTTGTTCTACCTCTCCCCTGCTCTGTCCAGCCTGATTTTGTCCTTCCCCAATTTCCTCCACAGCCAACGGAAGACAAACAGCTGCTCTCTGTCAGCTGTTCATCTTCTGTCTCAGATTCAGACTTCGACGGGGGCATGACAGTTTCCCATAGGTCCTGGTTGTCGGAGCCCTGGCTTGGTTTATGGACAGCTGCAACTTTTTTTGAATTTGCCTACCCAGTTATGGAAAGTAGCCTTCATTGTATTGTATTGCACATAATCTAATATGGTCCTTGACCTGATACAACTGCCTAAACTCTAAACCATTTACGTTGTTCATTTCAGTATATGATATCCTTCTATTCCTAATACACAGATCATATTCAGTTTCTTCAGTCTTCAGGTCCTTCCTTCTGGAAAAAAAACATTTGGTGTTTATAGCTTTGCTCTTATGCTTTAAAATCCTGGCATCTGGTATCGATATGAGGATGTGCTATTGTTTCTCGTGTAAATCAGGAAAGGATCTGATTTTGTAGGACTTCTTTGAGACCTGCTTTAGCACCCTGATTTTTTTTTCTTTCCCCATCTTTTTCAACTTGTAGCTAATTTTAGAAATAAATATACTGTAACTCATGATATAAAATGGTAATTGGATTTTGTTTTTTTGTTTTTTTATGGTTATTTTATGTAAAATTGGGTCAGTCTTCCATTCATTCTATTTCTTCTCTACTTTGTTTCCTTTTACTTCTCTTTTAATATTAAACTACCTAAAGAGTTGGGGAGCCTGAAAATTGAATTAAATGGGAAAAAAATGAAAAAAAATTAAGTAATTTCCAAATCTTATAGCTTCAGAAAGAATTTTTCTTTGTGACTGTAGCTGTGGGATCTCTCCACATATCAGAAACTGTTCCAGCATTGTTTAAAACACATATATTTGGTTTGCCCATGAGCTAAGCAAGCCAGGTTTCCTCTATTAATAAATCTATTAAATAAATTAAATCTCACAAGAGCACTCTGCTTTTTGGTTCTGTTCATTGCTGAGGAAGATAAATATTTTTTTTCAGGACAGTCTGAAGATAAGGTCTTTCTGTCACAGATTATCCATGAATGCCCCTAAAATATACTTTGGAAACCTCTGTCAAAGCTGGAATACTTGTCATTACCTTCAGAAAGTTGCTGAAGTTCAGCTTCTGATTCCTCATCACTGAATTTTTCCAGCGGTTTAGTGAAGCTATGGGACTGTAGTCCACCCAACTTTTAGAGGTTATAAGATTCACTAATGTGATTATATGGTAGTTGTATACAATGAATTAAAAAATAAATATAATTTCCTCCTCTTCATTTGGATGCCTGTAATTCCTTTTTGAAGGATTTCCTCTCTTCTGGAAAGCTAGTATATTATTTGTGAAATAATTGAAAAATATCTTCTTAGCCAAAGGTTGCTATGTAAATCATCTGCATAAATTGTTTCCCGTGTCTTATTGTCTGTCTTCATTTTGAGGGTGTTTGTGTAAGTGATGGTTTTTATTCTATTAACTGATTAAAGAAAAGATCAAGGATGTCATGAGTTTAGTGTGGTTCAGGGATGATTAATCAGTATGCAATAACAGATGACACTCTATTTTGTACCTGCAAAAGCATTTGACATGCAGAGAATTTTTTAAACAGAAAATAATATATAAGCTACCACTCATAATACTGAATTAATTGTAAGTATATATTATAAAGCTTTCTAAAAGATAAGGCTCTTAGGAAGCTAAAGGTGAGGTATTTTTATTTTTGAAAAGTGAAACCTGCAAACACATCTGACTTGAACTTGCTTGTATATTTTGAAGGTTTCTGAATTTAAATGCTTCTGTTACAGATTCATATAGATATTCCTCGCATGAGTCCAGAAGCTTTAATTCTTCAGTCCAAAGTAACAGAGGCAAGTATAACCCTATGGTTCTCCAATTTGTGTTTGGATATATAATAAGTTAGAATATATCTCTACATATATCTCTACATATATCGACATATGCTATGTTGAAAAACGGTATTTCCTTTATAAGCAATGCTTATTAGATGTGTATGGTTTGCCAATCTTAATACAATAGTATTGTTTAATTGAAAAGTAAGGAAAGTTCGATCATGCAGCTCTCCTCAGTAATAAAATGGGCCTTAGATTGTGCCGAGAGCTGTGCTTTCATTCAGACAAGAAGTTGCTGAAACATCTCATCTAGTCTTGAACCTTATCATTTCAAGGTTGTGCACTATATTAATGAGGAGCTGACTTAGTTGTATTTCTATTACCTCAAACAAGAGTGTACAGTATATCACAGAAGTGAGTACACCCCCTCACATTTTGTAAATATTTAAAGTATATCTTTTCATGTGACAACACTGAAGAAATGACACTTGGCTACAATGTAAAGTAGTGAGAGTACAGCTTGTATAACAGTGTAAATGTGCTGTCCCCTCAAGATAACGCAACACACAACCATTAATGTCTAAACTGGTGGCAACAAAACTGAGTACTGACAAGCTAACACCTCACCCCTTCAGCATCTGCAGCAATGCTGGCAGCACTCATACAGTATGTCTATTTCCCAAAGCCAACCTCTGGATATGATGCTGAGCACGGGCACTCAACTTCTTTGGTCTACCATGGCGAGTCCTGTTCTGAGTGGAACCTGTCCTGTTAAATCGCTGTATGGTCTTGGCCACCGAGTATAGCCTAGGGCTAGGGCATTTTTATGTAGAGCAACAATTCGTTTTTTCACATCCTCAAGAGAGTTCATTGCCATGAGGTGCCATGTTGAACTTCCAGTGACCCAGTATGAGAGAGTGAGAACGATAACCCCAAATTTAACACCCCTACTTCCCCTTCACACCTGAGACCTTGTACCACTAAGGAGTCACATGACACCAGGGAGGGAAAATGGCTACTTGGGCCCCATTTGGACATTATCACTTAGGGATGTACTCATTTTTGTTGCCAGCAGTTAAGACGTTAATGGCTGTGTGTTGCGTTATTTTGAGTGGACAGCACATTTACACTGTTATACAAGCTGTATACTCACTACTTTACATTGTAGCCATGTGTCATTTCTTCAGTGTTGTCACATGAAAAGATATACTTAAATATTTACAAAATGTGAGGGGGTGAACTCATATACTGTATGTCTATCTGGAATCCCAGATGCATGCCTCATGAAACTGAACTCTTAGCTTCATTGTCACCCTACCTTCCAGAATCCTAGAAAAAGAGTGGGTAAAGTTAATTTGGAGAGAAGATAAATACTTATTTTCATCCCAATAATCCCATTACTGAAGATATATCCAGCATAACAAATCCAGAATCTTTAAAGGGGACTTGGAGCCACTTCTTCCTTTTTTCCTAATTGGTCTACTACCCTCCCCTCCTTTTTTTTTGCTCATTCATTCATCTTTTTTTTAAAAAAGTTGCATGATTAGCAGGGAAATCAGATTATGTAAGATCCATTTTTCCACGACTTCTGAAGTCCTTTAGTGTATACCAAGCATTTCCTTAGTACAGTCTACTACATTGCCCTAATTATATTCACAAGAAATGAATAAACTCAGATTATAGGGCAGGGGGAAAGGATCTGCAATTACACAGTAAATTTTGGAGAAAAATAAGCTGTTCTATTCTCCCTTGATATTAATCCTATATTGTAAAACTTTTAGAGCCTTGATGTTAATCCTATAACATAATACATCTCAATGATCTCAATATGTAAAGTCTGTACTATGTTAATTAGACTAATAAGTATACATGAAAGCTAGAGAGCATGAACTTCCCAAAATATCTACATAAAAAAGAATCATTTACAGCAGCCCTTGATTTGAAATATTCGTCCATAATTGGGCATATCAGAGTGTCAGTATTACAGTTACAAAGATTGTTTGCAAGACTTATGGGACTTGATAGCTCTGATGAAGGAATATCAATATATTCATTTATGTATATGAATATGCTTTATGGACATTGATTTTTTTTTTAAAAAATTATTTTTCTTCAAGCTATTTAATTCTTACTGCTTTGTATTTGTTACTTTAATATTCTCTAAAAATTAGCTGATTTCATTGCTGTTATCTTTTTTTCAAATTCAGCAAATATTTATATATGGAATCTCCATAAAAGTACAATGTATAATGGCTAATTCAGTTTTCTTAGCTGAACACTGTATAATAATGCTATTTAAATTCTGTTATAAATGTTACTATTTTCCAAGAGCTAGGCAGGCTTCTTGCATTTTTATTGTAATGTGTTTAACAACTTCACCAATATCTTGGTGCTAATTTGATTTTCTGAGTATGCACTGAGACCTCAAGTAGGCTGATTGAGATTCCTTACCCATAATCTAACTGTTTAATTTCTATTTTTACTTAATATTATACCCTGTTTCCCTGAAAATAAGACATCCCCTGATAATAAGCCCAATTGGGCTTTTGAGTGCATGTGCTAAAATAAGCCCCCTCTGTAAATACGCCCTCCCTGAAAATATTTAAACGCGTGCGCAGGCGGTCCCTGCCATTTCCTCTGGTTTCCTCCATGCACCCCAAAATAATAAGACCTCCCCGAAAATAAGGTCAAGCGCTTATTTTGGGGTTGAAAAAAATATAAGACAGGGTCTTATTTTCGGGGAAACACGGTATTTATATCCTACTTTCTGTTCGTACAAATATACAAGATGACTTCTAATAATTAAGAAATTGCAAATTAGGATATATAACAAAAAATATAATTAAAATCAAAATTAAATACCATATCATTAAAATCAGTTAAAGGGTTGGTGAAAGAGACACATTTTTATGCCTTTCTTCTGAGTTTCAAAACTTGGTAGCTAAATATATCTTCTTAGAAGTGGTTTCCATTGCATAAGAGCTATCTTCCACATATCCAGTACATGAATTTCAGACATATGTGCCTTTTGCTATAATTATATTTTTGTTCCTTATATCCCTCTCCCCCCCCCACCCAGATTTTTGAAAGAATTTTGTTCATCTGGGCAATACGCCATCCAGCCAGTGGATATGTTCAGGGCATTAATGACCTCGTGACTCCTTTCTTTGTTGTTTTCACTAGCGAATATACAGGTAAAAATTCATGTTACTTTATATGTTGCTTTAATCTGATATTTTAAGATTATTGTTATCTTGTGTTCCTTGACATTTATGTTTTTGAAAATGCACAGTGTATAAAGAACAACCAATTAGTTAAATTTTAAAATTTTATTTATTTTTTAAAAGAATCCCACCTTAGTTATTTTTATAAATAGCTCAAAATGGAGAACATACTTAATATTCCTTCCTCCTCCTACGTTCTCCATAGAAACAACTCTGTGAGGTGAGTTGGGCTGAGAGGGAATGACTGGCCCAAAGTCACCCAGCTGACTTTCATGACTAAGGTGGGACTAGAACTCATAGTCTCCTGGTTTCTTGCCTGGCACCTTAATCACTAGACCAAACAAATTGAAAGGTGTTTTTTTTTTGTAAGAATACATTTGATAGATTCTAGCATCCATACTTATGTTTTATTTAAATCTTTGTGCTCAGCTCCTCTTCATCCTATAACTCAATTTGCTTTCTATGCCTCATCAACAATTTAAGATTGATTTTGTTTGATTAAGGACAGATTACCCTTGAATACGTGGAAATCTGTCCATTTACTGATTCCATCTATTGTTTCAGTGGATGGAAAGTCGCCCCCCCGTCCCCCTCCCAAACTGAGCAGCTAATGAGAATTACTGCAGCTTGTTCTCCTAATAATCTCTTAAGTAGGAAAGGGGGCTACTCTAGAGAGTGTTTATAGTTTCTGCCTTTTACTCCCTGATTTGACAGATAATGAAAATGATGTTAATGAGCCTAGAACAGTAGGGTCTGTGCTGGTGTACTTTAGAGTTGTTAATTGAAATAACTTCAAATGAGATGTGATTAGAGGATTGATATTCCATGTTAAATAGACCATTTAATTAATATAGTAAATATGTTGGTCTTAAGTACTTTACCATCAATTTACATTGCAAATCCTTAGCAAGTTGCCTGTATTTTCCGAAATGTTCTCTCTACAGATAAGAAAATAACTGTCCAATGTCCACTTGTAGTAAACTGATCATAGTACCAGTGAAAGATTGTCACTAGGTCACCTTTAGAATGGAAGATACTGCTACGTTACACTAATGGAGAGGTTCTTACTGTGATACTTAATTATATATACTACGTTTTCTCTTCATTCTCTTCTGTTTATTATGCCTTGCCATAAGTTCTCCAGGGTGGAAGCAATAGTAGATGTTCTGTGTAGCCCAGTGGAGAAGAAAGTGAATCTAGTCGTCTTGGCTGAGTAAACTAATGGGACTAATTACTGAATGCTAAATTGAAAAGCTAGAAGGAAGACTGGAACTCGGTATGATGCTTCTTTGTTCCATGACTGGGAAATCCAAATCAGCTACTTGTGAAAGTTCTTGCGTTTGAATAAATAAAAATAATAGCAGTGACCTACACAACTTACCGTATTTTTCGGAATATAAGACGCACCTTTTTCCCCCCTAAAAGGGGGTGAAAATTTAGGTGTGTCTTATACACCGAATGTAGCCCCGCCCACCCACTGGCCCCCACCCTTTGGCTTCTGCCTCCCAGCAATTTACCTCCTTGCAAGCAAACAGCAAGAAAAAACAGCTCCTTTCGCCTTCAGCACAGCCTAATTAGCACAAGTTGGTTGGATCGGCCTCCCGACTCTCAGCTGATTTGCTCTCAACTGTTTTGCTCAGGGCTCTGCTGCTGGCTGCAAAGAGGTAGATTGCTGGAGCAGATTTTTTTTCCCCTTGTGCTAATCAAGCTATGCTGAAAATGAAAATGAAAGTAAAGCAGCTGTTTGCTGCAATGAGGCAAAATTGCTCAGCGGCAGAGGGAGATTTCTTTTTCTTCTTTTCCTCACCAAAAAAGGTAGGTGCGTCTTATACTCCGGTGCATCTTATATTCCAAAAAATATGGTATTCTGTCAGGACAGGACCTCATGCAGTTCATTATGGAAGGGAAGACATTCTGCTTCACTAAGTATTAATTTAGTATAGAAGTAGCTCTGCAGTAAATTTAAGGTTTTTTTTTTTTAAATTCAACTTTCTACATCTACCATTGCATGTAATAATTAGCTACTGTATTTGTGGAGCATCAGTATTGTTCTGTTTCAATTAGGCATCAATTTGAAGAGTTTTGTTTGGAAGGAATGCTAATAAAAACTTGCTGGAATAGGAATTTAGTGCTGTTGATGGGGGGTGTGAGGTTAATTGGGTTCTTCCTTTTATTGTGCAAGTTATTAATTTTAGAGGCCAAACAGGTTCTCTAGTAGGGCAGGGTCTAATTGACATTAGTTTAAATAATAGTGAAGAATCCTTTAAGTACATCTTGGAATTATTGATTGCATCACATATTTCAATGAAAGGGACAACCTTCCTTTGTAGCAGTTATCTTTATTTCTGCTTTTCAATTTAGAGTGAAGTTTAGGTATCAGTGGTTAAGGTATCAGATTAGAAACCAGGAGAGTGTGAATTCTAGTCCTATCCTGGACACAAAGCCAGGGTGACTCTCTCTCGCCCTAGGAGGGAGGCAATGGCAGCCACTTCTGCAAAAAGCTTTGCCAAGAAAACTGCAGGAACTCGTCCAAGCAGTCTCCAAGAATCTGACTTGAGTGAATGAAAACAACAACAGCAACAATTCCATTTAATATTTGATTTGCTATAGACAAATAAGGCTAAGAAGTTTCTGTCAAATTCTATTGGTTTAAAAATGGACAGTCTCTTGAACTAACAACCTTTGTAGAACCTCCACATTTATGGAATAAAAATTGAGGCCCACCCACAATATTAACCCCCCTGCTGTTATACCTGCTTTTCCAGTGCTGCCACGGCTGATCTTTCACTCTAATTTTTTTATGCAGCTATTTCTGGTTAACTTACTTAAATATTGATTAGTTTTTATTGCTGATGGATTATTTGGAGAATATAGTTGCTGAAAACAAGTTTGAATTCTTAAATCTTTGTTTTAATTCATTGTTTTTGCCATTTTTAATTGCACTTATTCTTTTTTTAAGCTTTTCAGCATTCTACAATCTTTTATTATCATGTTTGTAATACAGGTAGTCCTCGACTTACAACAGTTCATTTAGTCACCATTTATAGTTACAATGCCACTGAAAAAAAGTTACGACCATTTTCACACTTGCGACCATTGCAACATCCCTATGATCACGTGATCAAAATTCAGATGCTTGGCAACTGACTCATACTTATGACTGTTGCAGCGTCCCGGGGTCATGTGATCCCCCTTTTCAACCTTCAGACAAGCAAAGTCAATGGGGAAGCCAGATTCACTTAACAACCATGTTATTAACCTAACAACTGCAGTGATTCACTTAATAACTGTGTCAAGAAAGGTAATAGAATGGGGGAAAATTCACTTAACAAATATCTCACTTAGCAGCAGAAATTTTGGACTCAATTGTGGTTGTAAGTCGAGGACTACCTGTATTTTTGCTTGGAAAAATCATTTGAGAGGAGAATTTATCTGTATCCAAATCATCTACGGTAATTCACTTCTTTTATTCACTTTGTATATATGAGCTGATCCAGATCTCTTCTATCTTGCTAATAAATTGCTAATAACTGAATAATCCCTACTTGTATTTTGTTAAGATTTTTAAAATCATGTTCATATGATTTATACAGTATTATACATAATACTGCCCTAACATCCCACCTCATTCTTGCTGATATTTCATTTATCTTATTTTCTTGGAAAAAGTTTCTCAGCGTTTGAGTTAGTTGTTAGCTTTGCTGCTGCATTGTATAGCATTACACTGTAAGGATTAAAAAGCCAAGTAAATGGCAAATCTCTTCTAATTTAAATGTAATAATCATAGAACATAGAACAATGAAATTGGAAGGGACCTTGGAGATCTTCTAGTCCTATACCATTTCAAACAAAGCAGCTGATCTGATACAGATTTCAATTTGTTGCAGAAATTTGAAAAGGTATCCATATGTAATCTATCCAAGAAGTAGAGTAGAGTAGAGTAGAGTAGAGTAGAGTAGAGTAGAGTAGAATAGAATAGAATAGAATAGAATAGAATAGAATAGAATAGAATAGAATAGAATAGAATAGAATAACAGAGTTGGGAGGGACCTTGGAGGTCTTCTAGTCCAACCCCCTGCTTAGGCAGGAAACCCTACACCACTTCAGACAAATGGTTATCCAACATCTTCTTAAAAACTTCCAGTGTTGGAGCATTCACAACTTCTGCAGGCACTGTTTAATTGTTCTAACTGTCAGGAAATTTCTCCTAAATTGCTTCTCTCCTTGATTAGTTTCCACCCATTGCTTCTTGTTCTACCGCCAGGTACTTTGGAGAATAGCTTGACTCCCTCTTCTTTGTGGCAGCCCCTGAGATATTGGAACATTGCTATCATGTCTCCCCTAGTCCTTCTTTTCATTAAACTAGACATACCAAGTTCCTGCAACCGTTCTTCATATATTTTAGCCTCCAATCCCCTAATCATCTTTGTTGCTCTTCTCTGCACTCTTTCTAGAGTCTCAACATCTTTTTTACATTGTGGCGACCAAAATTAGATGTAGCATATTTATAGCCACCTGAATAAAATATTTTATTGCAGGATTCATATTTGGGCATGCATCTATGAATCCATGACTATGCATTTTAAGTTTTCTGCACCTCTTCTGCATTCTAGTCTGTGGTTTTAATATGCCAGTTGTCAGCTGTAAGCAACCAAATCTACATGTGTAGAGTTCAAGCTACCTACTTTATTATATTCTACCGATTATATAGGACTCTCCCCAGACTGCTTGCCTTCTCTTGGGAACAGATAGATAAGACTCTATGGAGGAGGGTCAGACCTGGATCTCTTATGCCTGTGAAACAATTCAAAGCTAATCCCCCGCTTGAGGCCTCCTCCATGCCTGACAGGCCATTTCCCAACACCAATATTGAAGTACCTTCCTATTATAAAATTAGCTGTTTTTTTTTTTTAACTGTTCATAACCCTGACCAGGAGTGAACCTTACCATTTATGGCACCTTTGGGGGGG